GTGTTACATGCCGACCGCCGCGCTGAGGGCTTCTCCTTTTCATCTCAAGTCTTCTTCATCATTGCTAGAGAGCAGATATGGAATAGCAATCAGTGAAAGCATATCTGATCTTAATTTTTAACCAGCTTTTCTAATTATCATTCTAAACTTGAGCCTTTAAAATATAACTCTGATTCAATTGATTTTTCCGTAAAAATCAAAGAACTCATGACCAATTTTTTGTTTTGAATTTAATTTCTCAAAAACCATCAAAATTTGGATGTTTCCAGTTTCATGAGTGAAGCAAAATTTTCAATCATGAATTAGATATCACGAGGCAATTTATTTCCATGTTGTAGCATACTGCACAATTTTTGACACTTTATCGGCACTATGAACACTGAATTTTCTGTTTAAATTAAACTTTTTTGAAATCCGATTATATATCGTTATATAATCTATTTTCAAAAAAGTTCAATTTAAACAGAAAAATTACCAATTTATTTCCACTTTTCGTAGCCCCTCCAACGTGAGGGCGTATCTCAATGTTCACATGAGCCCTATTTTAAGTATAAATCCATGCTTTCTAGGGCTCATACGATACTCGGCATAGCCCTTACGTCAGGGGAGCACCCAACAGCTCGTCGAAGAGCGTCCTCGGTGCGGAAGAAGGTGCTTGGCCCGCATTCATCAACATACGAATTGGGGAGGTATTCAATTCTCAGCAACCGTATCGAGGGCGCTTGGACTACTCGGACACTGTTTAGATACAGTAGCCGTTCGAAGGAAAAACATAGTATGAACCTTCGATATTGACAAATTTCTTTTGATAAAACATGGGTTTTTGGGGGGAACTAGTGAATATTCTTCTTCCGAGTTTTCAAGGATTTTTGTTCGCAATGGGCCTGTTGCATGCAAGAGATACAGCCGCGCGAATAGACTTTTTAAAAGTTAAGTGACACGAAAATTACGATGGTCACATTAAAAAAGTCTGAAATACACTCCTTACTGCGTAATTTGCGTTGTTAGGAACGCGCTTTTTCAAATTTCCCGCGTCTGGGGGCAGTTTTCTAATCACCGGAACCGAGTAAACGGCGGGCTCGGTGATTTCCGGAAGATGCCGAGTCGTTGTTGTTGTTGTTATTTTTTCCTTCAGTTTATTTACAAACCCAACGTGATCTCTTATAGTGGTCCATATACGCTTTATGTGCTAACCAAATCGATCAACTTTTAAATATCCAACGCAATCCTCCTACATTTCATTTCAAAATATCACGAGCTCCGATTTTTAGGTTATGTTGTCAGTTTTAGTTGACCGGAAATGGCCGCGAGTTGCCGTTAATTGTCTCCGTTAGAAAACTGCCCCCAGACGCGGGAAATTTGAAAAAGCGCGTTCCTAACAACGCAAATTGAGCAGTAAGGAGTGTATTTCAGACTTTTTTAATGTGACCATCGTAATTTTCGTGTCATTTAACCTCTGAAAAGTCTATTCGCACGGCTGTATCTCTTGCATACAACAGGCCCATTTGATGTAAAGTACCTGGTATTTTCAAAGTATAATATTCATAATCTTCCTCAAAAATTAATTTTTCATTGGGAGGCACTTGGCAACGCTTGAATGTTTACACGTCGTTTTTTTTTAGCGAGGAAGTAGAGGCCTTTGGCCTTATTGAAGAGGAGTAAGTAGAGAGGGATCACCTCTTGAGATACGCTGCTCATCCTTTGTGTTCCTCTCTCGCGAATGCGAAAATGGAGCAAGAGAATAATAAAACGAATTAGAAGCGGGGTAGGGTGAGGGAGAGAGAAAGAGGGAACAAAATAAAAAAATCAAAAGTAAAACATCCGCAGGTTCAGTTTCCGAGAGTAAATATTCGTGACGGCAGTGGTTAAGTGGTTATGTAACCCTGGAACACAAATTGCCTCGCAAGAGCTGTTCGCGAATTTTTTAAGCTGGCGCGAATTGCGAGGAAGAGGTCAAAACAGGAATGATAATGTAATACGAAAGAAAGTGAAATTCCTATCCAAATTCGTTCTTTCTTTCATCAAACCGGGCAAGCTTGTCCGTCGCCAAAATGTCTTGTTTCTTAGACAGTAACCAGCCTCAAGAAAACATTTTGTGTACTTCGTATACAGGGTAATACAAAAGTCTCGCGCCACCCATTTAACCCCTAAGCTTCTTACAACTTTTCAGTGTCGGCGGGGTCTTAAAAGTCGTTTCCCTTGATTTAGGAGCACTGACAAAGTCTCAAGTATCCATCTCAATTGGTTTAAAAGTTGACAAGGCGATGCACTGATGCCTGACGCTGGCGCTGCGGGAATATTTGATTACCCTGTATGTATGACCACAGTAGCCCATGTTTAACCATTATGTGCATAATGCGGCCATGCTTCACTCTTACCATTCCATCATTATAGATCCGGCCTTATTGTCAGTTCTTCAGAAGAGGGTGGTTGCAGTTATCATGGATTTTGCAACTTCTCGCGAAAAAATAAAAGTAAACAAAATACGAAAAGTTATGGAAATAGAGTTTGACAGAGTTTCGCTGAGTTTTCTTTTAAAAATATAAAACGTGAGAGAAAAATAGGCACCGTTTGATGTAATTGAAGGCGTGGACTACAGAAAGGGCATTTCTCGGTTGGGGTGTCTTAGGATCTCCGTTTGCGATTCATCCACTAGAATTAAAGGAAATTGATGGAAGTCGTTATAACTTTTCTTGAATTTTCATCATGATTTTGCGATGCTGAAAACTAAAAATTGCAGGAAGTTCACTTGATAGTCTCCTCTCTAGAAAATGAATTAGCAGTGGAAATTCTGAAACACCGCAACGAAGAAATGCCCTTTCTGCACCCAACGCCGCTCAATCAGGTTGATTCCGGTTTTTGAAAACATAGCTTTGGCCGGGTTCCAGTGGCGTGGCGTGCTTTGCGATTTATCGATATTTTCCCATTTGAAACCGTGGTAAATAATCGATTATTGAGGTGTTCGCTGCAAACAACCTGTTTATCGATACTTTTCCGTAGGTTTAAATGGCCGATCAATCGATATATCGCAAAGCACGCCACGCCACTGTCGGGTTCCACGGTGAAATACCAGTGTGTGCGTCGTCGCGTTGTAGATTCGGTTCTTGGAAAAGTCAATGATTTCTTTTTTCTCGGAAGCAGCCGATTGCTGATTGGAGCTTTGCCGTTAACATCACGCCCTTTAACGGCGAAGCGCGTGTATAAATATTTCCTATCAGGCCGAGCAATTAGCGCGCTGTTGCCACGACCAGCTTCTTTGTCGAGAGATTTCGATAAAACGAGTGGAGTTCGGTGGATCTCTGCCGTGCTAAGGAAGAACGCCGCATGAGCCTTCAAACGTTGCCATATTTCTTCAATAAAAACCCAATTCACCAGGAAAATTGTGGATATTTTTCTTCGATTTTTTCATAAAATGTCGTTTGCAATTTTTTAAAAAACGTCTGAAAATTTAAAAAAAAAAAACAGAAATAAAAAACAAAATTATCCTAAAAAATAAACCTTTTATCCGGGGCAATTTTGCAACTCTCGAATGTTCATACGGCGTTCTTCCGTATCACGGCAGCATGCTCGGTGGATCCGCAACCCGGTGATACCTTTCCTCCGCGATCTGCGCTAATTAGGGTGATAAAAGTTCCATGAGGCATGGGTGGGTTTATCAATGAATACGTGACACCTTGGCACAGTGGCCTCGCGAACCCTACCGGCCCAACGTGATAGTACTGTAATTTGCCCGTGACGTCGCTAATCCGACGTAAGGTCGTATCTCGATACCTACGTGAGCCCTCTCGTCCAAATATCTCCATGCATCCCAAGGCTCACTTGGAAAGGGGGATGTGCCCTTACGGCAGAGGAGCATTGATGAGTCTGGACCCGGGTCGTTCATTAATAGTGACGTTACAGGCTATTTTTTTATCGATTCTCTATCGGGCTTTACTTCCTGTCTTCGGGCGTTAGTGATGAGTTTTTCACCTATACGGGCTATAACTGCCTTGCTACGAAAAATAGCGGTATGAACCTTAAAACATTGCCAAATTCCCCGTCATAAAATAGTAATTTTTGAAAAATGTTATAAATATATTTCCTTCAAATTGTTAGATATAATGTTCTGTGAAAAATTGCGAGAAAAATAGTAAAAAGTTTTCCAGAAAATTAGTATTTTATCAAAAGAGAACTTTGACAACACCTGAAAGCTCATTGAATGTTTCTCCTCAGCACGGTGGTGAAGGGCTAGAGACGCCAAAACGCCTTCATTTTTCATGCACGCAACACGGGTATCCCTCGGACACGAATAGTTGTATCCAGGCGTTGGATTCAACGAGGCTTTAAATTAGACTAAATAATGCAACAAGGAACCAATATTTCCGGCTTTCATACGTAGGTGCTTTGATGAATGAGCCCGAGATGGTAGTGGTTCATTATTGCAAAGTGAGGTCTAATTTGTATTCAACCATATTCAATCGTCGATGCACGAGTTTATGACACGCACAATAGATTCTTGGAGTGGATCGAGATTTATAAGAGGAAATTGAGCTTATATCGGTTCAAACGAAGCAGAGGAGGCCTTGATAGACACGAAATTCGCCGGTATTACGTCAGGCTCTCAGCATACATTGAAAGTCCTAAAGGTCAATTCAAAGTCGATAAAATGTAACTTTTACGAGTCATAGTAATCAAAAGTCTCACGATCACGATTTAATAGAAGAGTTCTGGAAAAATAAATTCTGATCACACAGGCTGATTTCAATGTAAATATTCCATTAGAAATATTGATAATTTTCTAAAAGCTCTTAAAACATTCATATAAATTCTTTACACGTCTAAATATGTTAACAGAATAAAAATTCCTCTAAGATCATCTTATTTCGGTCTTCAGGTACATTCTTTTGCCTTGTCAAGCGGATGTATTTCTGACGAAGACCTCAGCGAAGTTTTCGAATTGAATTTTGTGCAACCATGGATTTTCATAATTTTAATGCGTATTTTCTCTTTCTATGTTTCAGAATAATGCGTGAAAACTGAGATTTGAAGCTGCTTTGCTGACCGAGCAAGATGGGAAAGAAACTCAAACATTTCACGATTAAATTTTGCATCAAAAGCCTTTATACGCATCGAAAAAACTAGGAGAAACTCACCTTGCGCTGTAAGACACGGTACTCGAAGACTTAATTGCGTGAATAATACTCGATAAGTACGAGTAAAATACCTACAAAATGTTCAGACAGTGAAAGTGCCAAATCGGAAATACGTTCGCCGAGGAACGTAACCAGCCCAAACGGATCTCAAAACGTGTAGACAATTGAATGATTGACCGCTAGAAAGTAATTTGTGGAAAATAAATAAGGATTGAAACGGGGACGGTATAGATTGTGGTGAATCTCAACGGATCTCAATACGTAGGCATTTTAATATAAGACTTTTAGGAAATAAATTGTTGAAAGGATGAAGATCTAAACAGAATTAACGTGGAGTGCGTGAATCTCAACTAATCTCAATAATCTTAATGAAAGACTTCTAGTAAATAAATTGGTGTTCGAATAGAAAAAAAATCCAAATGGAGTAGGTATAAATTAGAACCCTTTCCCTACCCGGGCTTTTCTCTAATCTAGTGGATTTTGATAATCAGCACAATGCTAGTTTACTGATTTGATCGACGTTTAATTCAACATTTTATGTACGGTATGGTTGGATAAATCCATACGCAAACCACTCAGTTGGAAGTAGGTCAAAATCCGAGGATATGTTGTAGCTATACACCTTGTCTGGTATATACATTATACATTTTGAGGAAACCGAATCTGATTGCAAATCAAAATGGAATCGATCGAGGATAGGTTGAAGTCTAAGGGCGGGGAGAAGAGGCCCGAGAAAGACGGCGATTACGGGGAGCGGAAGAAGAAACCCTCGAATTTGGAACTGATCAAGATCTGCCTGCGGAACACTACAGTAGAGCCCCTGATCGGGTTCTACATAATCCCATGCGTCCTGGCCAGCCTGGCCACGCAGAACCTGAGCTTGGACAAGGCCTGCCGGGTGAACCTCCGCTTCAACTCGAGCGTTTGCGATGCACTCGTCGACCGCAACACCAAGAACTACACCCAGCAGGAGACAGAGGTCCAGCAACTGGTGGCCGCCATGTCCATCTGGAAGACCATCCTCCAGAGCTCCATCCCGGCCGTCCTGATCGTGTTCCTGGGCAGCTGGTCGGATCGGAACTGCCGGCGGAAGCCGCTGATGTTGATCCCGGTCATCGGCGAGTGCTGCACGGTCATCGGGCTTCTCTTCTGCACGTACTTCTTCTACGAGCTCCCGATGGAAGTGGCCGGGCTCTGCGAGTCCCTCTTCCCGGCGCTCACCGGCGGGTGGATGACCATGTTCATGGCCGTCTTCAGCTACATCGGCGACGTCACCAGCGTCGAGAACCGTACCCTCCGCATCGGTGTGGTCAACGTCTTCTGCTCCCTGGGCGTTCCCATCGGCACCGCCCTCTCGGGGATCCTCTACAAGTTGATCGGGTACTACGGGGTCTTCTCCATATCCGCCTGCATGTACATGATCGGGCTCTCCTACGGGGTCCTCTTCATCAAGGACAGCACCAACTACTTCAAAGCCATCCAAAACAACAATAACAACAATAATAATGTGAATAGTGTACAGGTGAACTCGATATCCAATTCCGTGTCCGTGGTGCCGGTCAAGGAGTCGTTGCCGCCGAAAAAGAGTGAGCGCGTCAGTTGTTGTGCGTTTCTCCGGGATTTCTTCGACTTCAAACACTTTTGCTCCGCGCTCCAGGTGACCTTCAAAAGCGGGGACAAGGACCGGAAAACCAAGATTGTTCTTCTCATGATTGCGATCGTTGTAATCATGGGACCTTTACACGGTAAGAAAATTTTTATCACCGTCCTTACAACCCTTTCAATGCAATATCGAAAATTTTTCGAATTATGTAGTGATCCCTCTCAAAAGTTGACAAAACTGTTTTCCCCTTATTTGAATACATTATAAACGTAGAAAAAAATTCGATCACTCATCGATGGATCGATAGTTTTTCATGTATAAGATGAGGAAAATCAGTGTCTTCAACTTGAAAGAATCTTTACTGGCGGCAACACAATGACCGACGTTGACAACAACTCTATCGCACGCAACTATTCGAACTCAACGGATGCGCGTGTTGCATATTTAACCTACCGAAGGCGCTCTGGCTTGTTTTGGCTCTTTAAAAAGAAGAGGGCAAGGGGATCTGTTGCATACTGGACTTGAACCACCAGGGTTGAAACTTTGATAGCACTAAAAGAACGAATAACGTAAGATAGCATAGAGCAGAAAGAACGAAATTATTCAGGGGCCGAAAGATTGATGTATTGAAAGAATTTTGAAAAAAATACAGAATAGTCACACTACGGATAGAGTCAGAGAGCAAATCGGCTTGCGCGGAGACTGTCTACGGGTTGCAGGTGGATAAAATCACAAAAAAGGGACAGTCCACGCTTATATACACTTGTGACGTCACGGGGGCGAGACAACACGGCTACCTGTGATTGGCTACCTCGTCAGTGTAGCTATCAGTTGCAAGTCTGATCGTTTTAAGTTAACGATTGATGGCTGGATAATAGGGATGAAAATTAAAGATGAAACTGAAAAGTAACCAAATCCAGCCATCACAAATGATCAGAGGGGAAAACAGATGAAAAATTGGAAAATTTATTGAAGAGCTGAGTTCAGCTGAGTTTCTGGGAGCTGAGATGGAAATTTTCATGAAAATTCACGGTGTAAATTTATGAAATTTTTCTGTGAAAATTAAACTATTTCTCATGAAATTTCATAGACGCTTTCACTGCCGTTGCGTCGTCTTAAACTGTTAAAATCTAATAATTGAAAACACGTGACTTCCTCCGCATAATTGGGTTTCCCTCGGACTCACATAGAAACAGATGGACTGGATTATGCAATTGGGAACTACTATCTCTCGCTCATCCATAAAAGAACCTATCTGCACAGGAAAATAAATTGCACGTACGTTGTTCATAAAGTGAGTTAGAAATAGTAGTTCCTAATGGCAAAATGTATCCAGATAACCTTCCAGAATCTGATCTCCCATGCAGGGTTCGCCGAACTTGCCCGGATAAAGTACAACGGAAAATTCGTCCGAGTAGACGAGGTCCGGATTTTTCTGTCTGAAGCTCGATCGCTTGCTGTGCCGTGCTGAGGAAAAACGTAGTATGAGCCACTAGGCGTTGCCAAATTTCCCTCTATAAAAAACGTATTTCTTGGGAAAATCATAAATATTTTCCTTCCAATTTTTCAGACAATCTTGTTCGTAATTTAATCTAAAATATCTGAAAATTTCAAGGAAAAATATGCATATCCCTCTTCCAAAATGAATATTTGATCGGGGGGAATTTGGCAACATTTGAGTGTTTATACGGTGTTTCCCCTTGGCGTGGCAGACCAGTCGTCAGTATGTCTCTCTCTTCGATCGGCAGTGATCGCCATTCGGCCATAATCTTTCGGAGGTTTGGACTTCGATCGCCATTTTGTAAAAATTATTTTATCACATTCGATCAGGATTGTACTCTGTTCGTGGGTTCTCACTTTTGAAGAGTGCCTGCGCTCTGCGCAATACGAACAGAACAAAGCGGCGACGCGCCGAGCCGGTTTGACCTCAACCCTTCATTCGTTTATTTTTCGATTTGATTAGGCAGTAGCCGGATTTAAAATTTTCAAAGTCCGAACCGATTAAGTCATCGGGCTCGGGATATCACGCGTCGAATCTATGCTCCTATTGTTTCAACTCCCTAATCAGTGGAGGCTCGTTCAGTGGCAAAATATTTTGCACACATTTTCAACCACCGCCGCATTGTTTTTTCGTGCACATTGGACTAAGAAAGCCCGATAGAGCAATGGTCGCCGGTAGCATCGCACGCAGTGGCGATTTTGCAAGTTGGCATCGCTGTTTTTCCATCATTGAAATTCATTGAAAATATCGATTTGAAGTGAGACAAGCTGCCTCACCAAGAATCGATTGTTTTGCATATATTTAAATGATGGATAATCAGTGATGCCGACGCTCAGTAATCGCCACTGCTGCACGATGTTTGCGCAATGTTTGAACATCTTTGTTTGAATTTCAGTCTCAGGGTGGCTTGGAAAGATAGAAACTTGTATGGGCATCTGTTATAGCCATTCTCTCAGCGCCCTCCGGCGCTCTGCGACGCTTAACCGCACTACCCTTCCAAAAGCCTTCGGGGAAAATCCCTTATTGCTACCCCCCCCCCCCCCCCCCGCCATCACAATTCGTTCTAGAGATCTTTCGGGCCGATTTTGAGGATTTTTTTTCCGCTTTCATCCAATGATAATCTCTGGACGAGTCCACCCTACCCTTTGGTTTTTTGTTAAGAATTAGGAGGCGGTCCTTCGAAAGCGCGGAGTGTCCTTTGAACGTCAGAGCGGTAGTCTCTTAGTTTAAAAAACAGAAAACAAAAAAAAAAAACCATCAACAACGTCTTATTCTTGAAAAAGCCTAATTAACTGCAAAATTTGTATCGCAATGAGTGCGAACTTCACGTTGCATGCGTTGGATGAATACAGAGGAGTTGGTTGCGCAAGGACGACTGAGTAACGGCTCAAACTAATTTTCGATTGTTGTAAAGATGCGCCGTCAGGTAATGAACGGGTATTAGTGACAAATGACGGACCCGCGGAGACATGTAACTGCGGAAACAGTGGAGGAGCACTGACAAGGATCTGCGGTTATTACCGAAGCTCTCGATCATCACGGCTCGCTGGGTGTACCTAATTATCATTTTAAGGTTAAATTAAATCTCGACAGTGAAACTTCCAAACCGCGTATCTCGTTTGCGGTGTTTCAAAATCTCCGCTATCTTATCATTTTTTGGAAGGGGAGAAGGAATCAACATATCGTCACCTTCCAGGCAAAGTATCACAAGCGCCATGCGACGTTTAAAAATTTTCGCCGCCATTTTATTTCTTTACTGAGAAATTGTTGGTTGAATCTGTTTGGAAATTTCACTAAATTTTATCGGCAACACAAAGAAAATTTAGTGAAATTTTCGGATAGCTTCGTTGAACAATTTCTCTGTAAAAAAATAAAATGGCGGCGGAAATTTTTAAACGTCGCATGCCGCTTGTGATACTTTGCCTGGAAGGTGACGATATTTCCTAGAAATTTTCACGGAAAAAGGCAGGCTGTCTTATCAAGAATCGATTTTTTAGGGTGGAAGTAAGCGGCAGAAGCGGATCCAGCAATGTGGCAACACCGGAATCTCTCCATTTAGACCTATGCTGAATAATCGATTCTTGTCGGAGCACCTGACCCTCCAAAAATCCAGGGCCGGATTAAGGGGGTGGCCACATGGCGGTAAATTTAGGGGGCGGCAAATTTTGCAATTTTTTTTTAAATGTAGGTATAAAAAAAATCGGATTCAGAAAAAAAATTACAAACAAGAAAAGGCGACAAAATCTCTCATTTCCTGAGGTATAGTAATTTCTAATTTTGTCGTCTTTCGGTGATACAAGATACAGCACCTTTAATTTGTCGAGTTAAGAGAGAAACCAAACACGCAATTTGGTATGGAGCGGCGCGGCGCAGAGAGCAATGATGACGAAGACTTGAGATGAGAAGGAGAAGCCCTCAGCGCGGCGGTTGGTATATAACACATATTAGCACCTGCAAAACTGCATGAATACTTCACGCATTGCGTCAAATACAGTGCGTTCGCGGCAGCGCGGCAGAAGTTAAAATTATGAAACCACATTTTTGTTTGTTCTTGCATAATTTTTACGTTCATTTATTACAATAGGAAGACCTTGTTCACACAGAGATTGGTTTAAGGAACTGAACTTTCGCGCGAAGTTCCGAGAACTTTTGCTAGTAGTGTTGACAGGGCTTTCGCAAAAAAATGTGTCCGACACGAGTAAACGCGTGTTATGCACCCCTCGCCCTCCGGTACGTTCACTTGATGGTTGTTTCAAAACGAATAAGAAGGGGCGGCAAAATACAGGCGGCCCATGGGCGGCAAGTAGGTGAATCCGGCCCTGCAAGAATCGATACATTTCCCTAGGTTTAAGTGGAGGAAAGGCATTGTTGCCAATTTGCTGGATCCGCCAATGCTGAGCGAAGGAAAAATAGGTATCGTAATCATATTTTTGGGGCTATTGTAGTCTTATTCAGAGCCTTGGGGGCAAAATATTCCATTCTTTTACCTAAAAGTGCCCGGAGACGGGCGTACGTTATTCCAGGTCACTATTTGATAGGGGAGAAATGAATAGGTACAAATTGATTATGATAACTCACACTTCAAAGTTAGAGCGAAAAGAATTCTCAGGGCATTCCCGTCCACTTTGATGGCACTCAACTTTCCCACATACTTTGATCCCTTGACGTGGGGTCGGCGTTTGCTTAGATTCAGTATTAACATCATAAAATCCCTGTATTCTTGTTGAAAAAACCAATATTTTGAACAAAAATGAGATTTAGAAGTAAATTTTTGAACATTCAGCGCCTCTAAATGCTGATTTTTGTAAGCGAAAGCAATAACTATATCCAAATGCTCGTCTTAAACATTTTCACATCATCGTAAAGATAGAGTTAGTTTAACTTGTGGATTCGCTAGTCCACAACACACCGTCCTTGAGATTGATCTAACAGGCTGCCCAGACTGATTTATAAGAGATCATTGTCCGGGTATCATTAGCTCAGAAAGATAGCTCTGCTACTCTTGAGCTGACTATGAGGTGGTGAGTGAAATGATGAGTTTTTTCATCGATTGAATTTCTCTAAAAATCCTAAAAAAAATACAGTTATTATCTTTGCATCATTCCCAAAGTTTCATTCACCCATTCTTTGTTAAAACTCTA